TGGTTTTGGAGAAGATTCCTCCACTTTGTGAAAGACGGCATAAAAGAAATGATACCAATGACTGGCGTCGTTTTGTCTAGTTACTTGAGATATTCATTTGGGGCTTGATCCAAGTTGGTCGAGTTGGATCATTATAGCCATTAAAAGAATGGTCGAACAGTGCATTCATCATATCATTTAGTACTCCACCTCACGTCTAAGCAAGGCGTTATATGTGAAATGTTAGATGTAAATGGGACCATGTCAAATGCATAACAACATGTAAGAGGAACAAGAAAAATAGAAAGAGTAGGAGACGAAATTAAGAGTGTCCAATTCCACATTGTGAGATATCAGGTTGGGTTCGACAAAAAAAAAAGATATCATAATGGATAAAATTTCTCTCTGAAATTTTTTAACTATTTGGAAATGGACCTATAATGAATATATAGTATATCACTTAATAACACGCACGGATGAAAATTAAAGGCGCATGGACATGACAATGATCATTAGTCTTATCTATGCAAACTGCAATGGGTCGAGCTTGTTTTGATTAGTTTAGTTTATTCTTCTTTTTTATTTTTTTCTTTCTTTTAAACTTTTGGGTCATTTGGCATCAACATTTGTTTTATGTCTCTAGATGCCTTGTTTTCATGGTAATCTAGCTTTATTAACACGGACTACATTATTGGGAAAATGTAAATTCTGAATTATTTGTACGAATATAACTACAGCACAAGATAAAGATTTCTCGAGAGACTTGGGTACTCTGCTAATTTGGTTAGTAGATGTGGAAGTCAAGAGCATTCCCCCAAAGTATACACATGTGCACACAAGAAAAGCCCAAACTATTTTATGGATCCAACTTTCTATTGGAGTATTGCCCAATGACTCGACTTGAATCTCTTCTCGATGTCATTGGGCAAAAAAACATTACATGGTCTGTCAAACCTTGTCTGGACCGTTGATCATGTGGGCCCCAATGTTGGGCCCACATGATTAATGCTTTTGAATATCTTGGGCTTCTCCTCTATTGGCCGAAAAATGATTGGGCCCGTTAACCCTTTAGTAGACGATCGACCACCATTGAACAAAGTTTACAGGTCTGGTTAATGGGCGGGCTGGGCGAGGGAGGGTCTTAAAGTTCGGCCCTCTGTTGTTTTTGTTTAGAATAGATAAAATTTACGTTTTATGAATAATTCAATGTTGATATCTAAGTTTATAGACACTAATTAAAAAAATAATAAACCCACATTTCTAATATACGATTGAGAAATAGCATTAATGTCATAGGTGAAATAGTAAAATAAAATGATACAAATGCCTTATATTAATTATTAATTAATTTATTGTTTATATACTTTACTTTTTTAAGTTGAAAATTTTAAAACCAAATATAAAAAGGTGGTCCGATGGAGGGCCTGCCCTGCCCATGTTTTTCTCTTGGGCAAGCTTGGGCATTTGCATTGGCAATGCACATAAATAGGCATAAGGAAAGTAGAAGTGCCAAAGTTTCTTACAACGCTTATTTTGATGCCAAAAGTTTTCGTCGTATCACTTAAGTACCATTTAAAAAAAAAACGATCACTTAAGTGCTAACTTTGATTTAGATTGCTGGAAATCTAATGTGGTAGTATTTTATCAATTTCCTTGACCGACATCGCTCGCCTGCGTGCCCAGTCAGCAATAATAGCCCTAAATGACGTCGTCTACATTCCTTTCCCAAATATAAAACTTGCAAACAAAGTCAGACCAAATTAGGGCTTTGGTCCAAATTAGAGGTTTTTTTTTTTTCAATTTGCAAACAATAAAAGAAGATGATGAGGTGCTGATGAAGATGAGGCAGGTAACGAAGGCCGTCGCTTCAGTCAAAGCTAGATATGGGCTCGGCGACCTCTCAGATCGGGATCATCCCCAATTTCACCCCATGGATTCTTGACTCCACGGCCATGAAGAGCTCCATCTTCAAATTAGGAGGAACATGCTACTAGTCCATCTCCAGATCTGCAGCCATGGCGATAGCGGTTCGACTAGAACTTCCTTGCAAAGTCAATTTCTCACTCCACAGAGCAACCAATGGCAATGGAATTTGGTAGACAGCAAGAGAACAGAAAAAAAAAAAAGCAAAACAGAAAATAGAAGATAAATTAGGAAGGAATCGAGGTCATATTTAGAATTTATTAAACTCCATGGAGAAAATTTGAAATGCGGTGGAAGAAAAATCCTTCTTTTATTTGGTAAAGGTTCTAACATTCACGGGCTGTGCCGGGGCGGGCGGGCGGGCATCGGGGGGTCTATGGGAGCACGGTTTTTTCTCAAATAAGGGGAGGTGACAGAAGATGATTTTCATCTTCATTCTCCCTGAACATCACCATTTCTGACCATTGAAGCTGTGACTCATCCGCCACCTTCATCTATCATGGAATCCTCACACTTGGATTCGTGGCTTGACAGAAACGAGAATAACGAATAATGTTCAAAATCGGCTCATACGGCGTTGTTTATGGAGAGTCCAGCCGTATCATAGTCCACGTTGGACTCGTTTCTAGTTTAAAAATGTCATGTCATATTATACATTTTTATTATAAAGCCAGATAATATTTTTTGTCGAATTTTATCGCTGGGGACACTTAAGTGATTGTTTTTTCTTCAATTTGATATTTATGTGAATCGGTAAAAACTTTTGACACTAAAAAGAGTATCGTACGAAACTTTTGACAGTTCTAGTATTCTTATACCAGCATAAGTATAAGGAATAAGTATACTAGAAATTCCGAAACATGTCGCAAAATATAAAATTGAGTTTTAAAACTTTCAAAAATGCAATCAAGATCTAAAACTTGTCAAGTTGATGTAATTAAGTCACTTCCTTAGATCCATCCAATTTGGTTAATTAAAAAAGGTGATGTTGTCTCTTTTATTACTTTCTCTTTCGTCCATAGCCATTATGTCAATGAAGAGTGCAACAGTGACCAAAACGACGCTATCTTCAGCCTAATCTTAACTAAATTTAGATTGCAAAGTAATAAAAGGATGCAAAGTTAAAGAGAGAAAAAAGAAAAACACACTCTGCCGAGGAGACTTAATTAGAGGTAGTGCCTTCGTCCCTAACGTCACCGGCAAGGGGGCTACCCTCCAACCCAACCCCCGATTTGCACTTTAAAAAAAAGAAGAAAGTTTTGGCTTTTATATTTTAATCCTTTTGCCCTTTTTCTTTTAATAAATGATACTTTTTCTTTTTTCTTTTAAATTTTTTAACTTTATCTTTTCTAATGCAGCGCCACGTGTATTTGAAAAACATAAATGAATGCCATGTCGGTATTTTCTATTAGGTAAATTGAACGAAATTAATTGAGGAACTTGATTACACCAATTTGATAAGTTTTAGCATTTCATTGTACTTTTTGAAATTTAGGACTTGGTTTGCAGTTACCCCTAAAAGTTAATCCTTACTAAAATATGGTCTCTCTCTTTGAAGAATGTAAAGTTACATACCTAATTTGATATAAACAAATCTTACTCTAATATGCATTTGAGTTTTTATTTGATTTATGATGTTGGTAGGCATTTTATAAAGCTTGATGCCAGCTTCTACCAATTAGGGGCGAGCATAGGTCCAAGGTAAAATCAGAAATCAGAGAATCGGATCGATGGGTCCAGTTCGGCTCTCGGATCTAGGGAGAGAGGTTCTGGTTCCCGAGTCCATTTTTTTAGGAACTGCTGGTTCCGGTTCGATTCTCGATTCCTATAGGAACCGGAACCGAGAACCTTTAACCGGAACCCGGAACTGAAACCGAGAACCGGAACCAAAACCGGGAACCAGAACTGAAAACTGGGAATGGAACCGAGAACCCTAAATCTAAAATCCTTAATTTTCTTACTACTCCTCACTTCTTACTTCTTGGCTCTCAAATTCTTATCTCCATCCGCATGCTCATTACTTTGCTTAACTTGTCATGTAGAACATTTCCTAAGGTTTATTTAGACTGATATATTGTGGTTTTGGAGTACCCACCATTCGCATGCACATTACTTTGCTTAACTTGTTAAGTTTGGGTATTCATTGTCATGTATCTATGCCAAATTTTTGTTTTTTAGTGAGGTCAATTGTTTTCGCCATTCACTCTTTCAAGAAATATCTTAAGCTTGATGGTTGTATAGTTAAAACCATGGCAATAATGGATGAAAAGAATAAGTTGTAGCTGTAGTTACAAATAATCGATATATGACATTTCAATTTTAAATGTAAAACTATTATTAAGTTATCAACTATGATTGTTGTTTCTTTTGATTTTAGGTGGTTAGAATTTGGAACAAATTTTCATGGATGTTTGAGGACCAAAAGCTCATCTTTCTTTCATTTTTCCCGCTTCTCGTTTTGTTTGTGGTTCTAGATATGGATATTGTCTTGATTGACATGCTAATCGCTTGTGAATTCTGTTGTGTGTCGATTCACGCCATGACTTCTTATTTTAATTGTATTTATTTAAACCATAATGCTAGAAAAATTAGTCTTTTGTATTCTCTTTTGTGAATAATAAATTTATTCGGTATTATTGCGTTCATTTTCGTTTTGACGAAACAAAAAAATAAAGAACTTGTTGGACCTTGGAACTGACCCTAGAACTTGTGACAAGATAGGTTCTAGGTTCCGGGTTTTGATGGTTAGGTTTTAGGTTTCAAAAAATGAGGAACTTGTACCCAAGGGTGGGTTCCAGGTTCCAGGTGGAACCTGTAAGGAACTTAGAACCGTTTACCCCTAATACCAATTGTGCTCTAGCACCTTTTGAGCATATCATCTTTTCTAGCGTTGGTGTTTGCGATTCTACATGACAAGCCACCAATAACGAAGAATTGTAACAAGTAAATGTAATAACTACAAGAAATATCTTGAGCTCGTTATCTTTTAAGCCATTCTTAAGGATTGGAAATCGCATCTGTAGTCCATCTCTTTCGGGTTGAAATTGCAAATGGGAGTGTTCCTAAGTGTTTTGGACTAATTAATAAAACATTGCAGAGATAGATAATGAAGTTGACTAAGATAAATAAAATACATGAGACAGCTTTCTACAAAGGTTGCAACAGAAAAACCAAAATATCTCAATAAGTGAAGCATGTAGGATCAACTAGTTCTTCCAATTTGATGTTTTCCGATGCGCTTAACATGATCGAGCTATGTGTTGATATCACTCGAGAAACTTGCTGCATACTTGGACGATGCTCCAGTTTGGGACTTAAGCACGAAAATGCCATCTTTGTCGCAAAGGCCACTTCTCCAAGCACATCACCTTCCGGGTATGGAATTCTTTGATCTAAAACTTCTTTCAATGGCCAAGAAGCTGTTGAATGGCGCAAGGACAATGAAGATGAGGATGCAAGAGATGATATGAGATCACCCGGATGTCTTCCCATGATTACTTCCAATGTCATCACTCCGAAACTATAAACATCGCATTTCTCGTTTACTTCCATTGTGTATGCGAGTTCTGCATAGAGAAAAGAGCAATTATTTCCTAGCTTTTATACAGTATCCATGCTTTGTTAATCTAAACTGATTTTGAATAAATTAGTATCAATCAAGACATACTATAGATTCCAATCGGATTTTAAAATTGTCATTTCTTTAGGGAAAAGTTCCAATTTATTAATTGATGGGCCTAAATCTCAACCAATCTATTATTGAACCTTTAAATCGTGTGAATAGTTTTGGATTTGGTGTTAGGTATTTAGACGCTTAAGCAAGGTAGGAAAGGATGAGGATCTTGTATAAGCAATTTCATGTCTATAAAATGAAGTGGGTGAAATTTTGAAGAAACCAACTTACCTGGAGCTGCATATCCAAAGGTGCCCGCAAAGGAAGTCCAATTGGATGAATAAGGTTGTAGAACCTTAGCCGTGCCAAAATCAGAGACGTGAGCTTCATATTCTTCATCCAGTAAAATGTTCTTACTCGATATGTCTCGATGAATTATAGGAGGAGAGCATTCATGGTGCATGTAGCACAAAGCATAAGCCACACCTTTAACAACATTCAGTCTCTTATTCCAATCAAATGTTTTTACCCTTTGTTCATTGTTCAATACATCTTTTAAGCTGCCACAATCCAAGAACTCGTACACCAAAAATGAATATCGAGAACTCGAGCAAAAGCCATAGAGTTTGACGATATTCCGATGCCGAGTTCCAGTCAAAGCATGAATCTCCCTTTCAAATGCTTTTCGACTCGCCATTTCAACATCCGATGCTTCCTTAAGTTTCTTTACAGCAACAGTCTCACCTGTTTTCAACTGTGCCTTGTAAACACTCCCATGTCCTCCCACACCGATGCAATATTTGGCATCAAACTCCTCCGTGGCTTCAATAATGCTCTCATAAACCATTCTTCCATCAAAGCTCCATACTGCCCACAGGTATTCATTACTTTCATCGATCGACCTAGCCTTTGTTTTCCTTTCTCTTCTGCATAAAATACTTGAAGCCCCCACAACAAGAAGCAAACAAACTAGGCAACCCAAAGTAGGAATCAAAATTAGCAGCAACTTTTTGTTTTTGTTTTGGCCTTTTGACATTGTTGTTGTACAGGGGTTGAGACCAACAATAACTCCACATAAGCCTTTGTTCCCTCTCACAACTTCAATTGTAGCATTATGAAAAGCTGGAATGTCTGTTAAAGAACCCTCTAACTCGTTATACGATATGTCGATCGATGTCAAGCTTGTCATGTCATCGAAGGTCGACACAATTGAACCCGAGAGCTGATTGTGTGAGAGATTGAGTATTTCCAATCGGTGCATAATCCCAAGTTGTCTAGGTATTTCTCCCGTAAGAAAATTTTGACTCAGATCGAGAATTTGAAGAGATTGAAGATTGCTAATCTCGATGGGAATACTTCTGTCAAGATTGTTTCTACTTAAATTCAAAAATTGAAGCTTCAAACAGTCCCCAAGTTCTTTAGGTATTGAGCCACTTAGGTTATTTCCGGCAATGTTAATTGTTGACAGACTGGACAATGTTCCGAGTTCTCGAGGTATGTAGCCTACGAGATGATTGTCATTGAGTGAGAGCTCTAGAAGAGACTCTAGCTTCCCTAAGTCTTCTGGAATTTCCCCAACAAGACTATTTGATGAGAGGTCAAGTTCATGTAATTGACTCATCTTGCCAAGCTCAAGGGGTATCATGCCTGAGATTCGAGTGTTGGAGATTTTCAGGCTTGTCAAATTGCTATATTCACCCAGTCTCGGTGGTAGCTCACCATATAGTTCATTGTTGCTCAACTCAAGATAATCTAAGCTAGGGTGTGTGCCGAGATCCTCGGATATATTTCCCTTGAGCTGGTTGTTTTGGAGCCTGACCCTATACAAACTCGTGCAGTTTTTGAGACCTCGTGGAATTGGACCAGTGAAGTGATTGTCATTTGCAGCAAAAGATCGAAGACTTCCGCCACTGCAAATATCTTGTGGCAATTTGCCAACAAAATTGTTATTGCTCAGCTGCAGGGTCGTGAGCCATGTGAGATTATTGATCTCAATGGGAAGAAAGCCCCCCAGACTGTTGTTGCGAAGTACCAGCTCAAGCAATTTGCTGGACTGTCCTATAGAACTAGGGATGGAGCCTGTGAGATTGTTGGAGTCAAGACTAAGTCGATAGAGAGATCTAAGCATAATTTCTTTAGGAATAGGACCGGATATCTCGTTATTTGAAATGGCAAGTTGACGCAAGTTACTTAAGTTCCCTATGGACACCGGGATAGAACCTGTTAGATGATTATTTAGCAGCTGAAGATATACGAGAGATCTCATTCTTCCAACTTCTGGAGGTATGGGGCCAGAAAGTTGGTTGCCATAGAGGTACAGAAATATCAAATTACTCAGATTTCCCAGAGTTCCGGGGATGGATCCATTGAGATTATTGGAAGACAAATCAAGTTCATAGAGAGATTCCAACATTCCTATTTCCTTTGGAATGGACCCGACAAGTTCATTGCCCAAGAGCTCTATTTTCATCAAGCTGCTCATGTTTCCAATGGAAGAAGGAATTGAACCGGTGATGCGGTTGTAAGCTAGGTAGAGAACACTAAGAGACTTGAGCCTTCCTATTTCTTTAGGGATGAAACCAGAAAGTTTGTTACTTGAAAGGAATAGGTCGGTCAAGTTGCTCAAGCTACCTATCTCTTTGGGAATTGGGCCGGTGAGATTGTTTGCCGAAAGATCGAGAAATTGTAAAGATTGCAACGACCAAAGTTGAGTTGGAATGTTTCCAAAAAGGTTATTTCGATCCAAGTAAAGATGAGTAAGCTTGGAAAGATCGCCAATACTTGGAGGGATGTTGCCGTAGAGCGAGTTGTTGCCAAGCTCAAGGGTGACCAAGCTAGGCAATTGGGAGAAATTGAGATGATGAAGCTTACCATGTATGGCAGAATCGGAAAGGTTCAAGCTCACGATGCTCCCAAGAGGATCACAATGGATTCCGCGCCATGAGCAAGGGTTGCTTCCATTCCAGGAAGACAAAGTATAGCGACTCCCAGTGTCTAGCTCAGATTTCCATTTTAGGAGTGCCTCCACTTCTTCATTTCTCGTTTTGTTGCCAGCACCAGCGAGGGCCACTATAGAAGAGCTTCGAGATGAAGCAAGACAAGGCATTTCTGGCAAGAGCATGAGAAGGACATCAGCGAGGAACAACAATAAGAGTTGTTTTCGTGACAAGGCCATGAGAGGTTTAGGTTATTTGGGGTGGTCTTTTCTTTGTTTCTAGGCAAATATGTGTTGAAATGGACCAAAGTACACCCAACGTATTTATAGCAGAATTGGGATCTTTAAGTCAACAACCAAGTCCATAATCATTTCTTCCCGGCGAATGAGAGAAGATTTCAAATTTTGTTTCAGGCGAATTAGATAAAACTCTCCTAAATTTTGGTGAATAATACACGTTTTCCCTTAAGCTTGTAACCGTTATGCAATAACCGTTATGGGCACCGTTGGGTTAATCTTACCTGATCGTAAAATGATTATCATTTCAAGTTTTATTCACGTGGATTTTCACCTCCACCCCCCAACAATTTATGCTGATAAAATGACAATTCCAATTTCTTTTTTCCCAAAAAAAGAAGAAGAAGTCGTTTGGAGTTGAATAACCTAATTGATTTTAATTCCCAATTTTTTCTTTCCTTTTTTATTACTAGAATTTGCTGTTGGTTTTTGCATCAGTCTGAATCAATTGACTAGGAAGCTTCATTATTTCAGACTACCTTCGCTGTCATTAGATGACTTTGACTAATGAACCGACGATCATCAGCAACGAGATAAGACATCATCTCGTGACGCCTCCGTCTCCCATCACAACTTGCAAAGACTTCTTAGTCTTCTTCAGAGCAAGGATTTTAATATTGCTGAGGTACAATCCCAACCTGCATTAACTAAATATGAATTCCTTGCCAAAAAAGCGGGAAATTCAACAAATGCACAACAAAGTCGTTTTTTTCGATTTACTTTTCGAGCTACATCTTATCTTTGTTTCTATATCATAAATATAGAAGCCATCAACAAGAAAAATAATTTTGGCTTGAGGTGTTATGGGCATCGTTGGGTTAATCTTACCTGATCATAAAATGATTATCATTTCAAGTTTTACTTGCGTGGATTTTCACCTCCACCCCCCAACAATTTATGCTGATAAAATGACAATCCCAATTTCTTTTTTCCCAAAAAAAGAAGAAGTAGTCGTTTGGAGTTGAATAACCTAATTGATTTTAATTCCCAATTTTTTCTTTCCTTTTTTATTACTAGAATTTGCTGTTGGTTTTTGCATCAGTCTGAATCAATTGACTAGGAAGCTTCATTATTTCAGACTACCTTCGTTGTCATTAGATGACTTTGACTAATGAACCGACGATCATCAGCAACGAGATAAGATATCATCTCGTGACGCCTCCGTCTCCCATCACAACTTGCAAAGACTTCTTAGTCTTCTTCAGAGCAAGGATTTTAATATTGCTGAGGTACAATCCCAACCTGCGTTAACTAAATATGAATTCCTTGCCAAAAAAGCGGGAAATTCAACAAATGCACAACAAAGTCGTTTTTTTCGATTTACTTTTCGAGCTACATCTTATCTTTGTTTCTATATCATAAATATAGAAGCCATCAACAAGAAAAATAATTTTGGCTTGAGGTGTTATGGGCACCGTTGGGTTAATCTTACCTGATCATAAAATGATTATCATTTCAAGTTTTACTCGCGTGGATTTTCACCTCCACCCCCCAACAATTTATGCTGATAAAATGACAATCCCAATTTCTTTTTTCCCAAAAAAAGAAGAAGAAGTCGTTTGGAGTTGAATAACCTAATTGATTTTAATTCCCAATTTTTTCTTTCCTTTTTTATTACTAGAATTTGCTGTTGGTTTTTGCATCAGTCTGAATCAATTGACTAGGAAGCTTCATTATTTCAGATTACCTTCGCTGTCATTAGATGACTTTGACTAATGAACCGACGATCATCAGCAACGAGATAAGATATCATCTCGTGACGCCTCCGTCTCCCATCACAACTTGCAAAGACTTCTTAGTCTTCTTCAGAGCAAGGATTTTAATATTGCTGAAGTACAATCCCAACCTGCGTTAACTAAATATGAATTCCTTGCCAAAAAAAGCGGGAAATTCAACAAATGCACAACAAAGTCGTTTTTTTCGATTTACTTTTCGAGCTACATCTTATCTTTGTTTCTATTTCATAAATATAGAAGCCATCAACAAGAAAAATAATTTTGGCTTGAGGTGTTATGGGCACCGTTGGATTAATCTTACCTGATCATAAAATGATTATCATTTCAAGTTTTATTCACGTGGATTTTCACCTCCACCCCCCAATAATTTATGCTGATAAAATGACAATCCCAATTTCTTTTTTCCCAAAAAAAGAGAAAGAAGTCGTTTGGAGTTGAATAACCTAATTGATTTTAATTCCCAATTTTTTGTTTCCTTTTTTATTACTAGAATTTGCTGTTGGTTTTTGCATCAGTCTGAATCAATTGACTAGGAAGCTTCATTATTTCAGACTACCTTCGCTGTCATTAGATGACTTTGACTAATGAACTGACGATCATCAGCAACGAGATAAGATATCATCTCGTGACGCCTCCGTCTCCCATCACAACTTGCAAAGACTTCTTAGTCTTCTTCAGAGCAAGGATTTTAATATTGCTGAGGTACAATCCCAACCTGCGTTAACAAAATATGAATTCCTTGCCAAAAAAGCGGGAAATTCAACAAATGCACAACAAAGTCGTTTTTTTTTATTTACTTTTCGAGCTACATCTTGTCTTTGTTTCTATATCATAAATATAGAAGCCATCAACAAGAAAAATAATTTTGGCTTGAGGTGTTATGGGCACCATTGGGTTAATCTTACCTAATCATAAAATGATTATCATTTCAAGTTTTACTCACGTGGATTTTCACCTCCACCCCCCAACAATTTATGCTGATAAAATGACAATCCCAATTTCTTTTTTCCCAAAAAAAGAAGAAGAAGTCGTTTGGAGTTGAATAACCTAATTGATTTTAATTCCCAATTCTTTCTTTCCTTTTTTATTACTAGAATTTGCTGTTGGTTTTTGCATCAGTCTGAATCAATTGACTAGGAAGCTTCATTATTTCAGACTACCTTCGCTGTCATTAGATGACTTTGACTAATGAACCGACGATCATCAGCAACGAGATAAGATATCATCTCGTGACGCCTCCGTCTCCCATCACAACTTGCAAAGACTTCTTAGTCTTCTTCAGAGCAAGGATTTTAATATTGCTGAGGTACAATCCCAACCTGCGTTAACTAAATATGAATTCCTTGCCAAAAAAGCGGGAAATTCAACAAATGCACAACAAAGTCGTTTTTTTCGATTTACTTTTCGAGCTACATCTTATCTTTGTTTCTATATCATAAATATAGAAGCCATCAACAAGAAAAATAATTTTGGCTTGAGGTGTTATGGGCACCGTTGGGTTAATCTTACCTGATCATAAAATGATTATCATTTCAAGCTTCTTGACAAAGGTCAGACCGACACTTTTTGGAGAAATCTCTTCTGGATGATTGCCGGGTTGGGCTTGGACGAATAACTATATCCATTCCCCTCTTGGGAGAATTTGGATTGGGTGGAATCCCCAAGACGTGGAACTTGAAGTTCTAGCCAAATCCGCGCAGGTCATTCACGGTCATGCCCGTATTTTGGCACTGAATAAAACCTATTTTTTCTCGGTTGTCTATGGTGAGCACACCTTCATTGCACGGCGATCTCTATGGGCTGATCTTAGTAGTTCCAGTACTCATTATGAAACTGAAGCCTGGTTGGTGGCCGGTGATTTTAATGCCATTCAGGATAACTCGGACAGAATGGGCAGCACCAATACTTGGATTCCTGCTTTTGATGAGCTTGACTCTTGCTTAAACCATGCTGGACTTGAGGACCTTCATTATGTTGGACACAGGTTTTCTTGGTCGACATCCTGTGGTGCAACCTGCAAACAAAGGAAGATAGACCGTGTTTTAATTAATGATCAATGGATCAACTCCTTCTCCTTCTCGGAAGCAACCTTCCTGGCCCCTAGAGTCTCTGATCATACCCCAATGATCATCAGAATTGCTCCTGAAGTTGTGTCCAAGAAGCCATTCAAATTTTTCAATTGTTGGATGTCTCACCCCTCCTTTCCAGCCATTATCTCACAGGTTTGGGACTCACACTGTGTTGGCACACCAATGTATATTCTCTGCCGGAAACTTAAGCTCCTTAAAGGTCGCCTTAAGCAACTCAACAGGGCTTCTTTTTCGGATATAGCGAATCGTACTGCTGAGGCCAGGTCAGCACTCATAGCTACACAGGATGCCCTCACCTTAGACCCTCTTAATTTGGGGTTAGCAATTCTGGAAAAAGAGCAACTTCAATGCTTCTCAACTCTCCGACTTCAGGAAGAGTCCTTCTTCGTACAAAAATCCCGTATCAGGTGGCTGAATGGTAGAGATAAAAACACAAAATATTTCCATCATTTTGTTAAAAAACGACAACTACAGAACCGTATCCTCTCGGTTACTGATGATGATGGAGTAATCCTCCCTGAATCTAACTTGGTCCACAACCATATCATTTCATATTTTGAGACCTTATTCAAGGCTAGACCCGACACCTCTCGCCTTGCCGTGGAAGAGATCACACCTATGATTGAGCGGGCCCTTAATGATGAGCAAGTTCTCCTTCTCTCTCGAGAGGTCACGGACACGGAAATTAGGAACTCTATGTTCTCATTAGCAAAAGGTAAGGCCCCTGGCCCTGATGGTTATAATGTTGATTTCTTCATCTCGTCTTGGGATGTGGTTGGTCCCTCGATCATCCTGGCTATCAAGGACTTCTTTCGCTCTTCCTCATTACTAAAGGCGACCAACACCACCATTCTCACTCTTGTCCCGAAGGTTCCTAATGCATCGACAATGAGTGATTTCCGACCAATTGCTTTTTGTAATTAAGTCTATAAATGTATAACAAAGATATTGGCTAATAGGATTGCATCTGTATTGCCCTCCATCATTGGGACTTCCCATAATGCTTTTGTTAGAGGTCGAAGGATAGGAGACAATATCCTGCTTGCCCAAGAGCTCTTTGCTGGGTTTCACCATAACCCATATCTTCCTAAGTGTGCCATCAAGATAGATTTCCAAAAAGCTTATTATACGGTTGACTAGATATTTTTGGAAAAGGTCTTGCAATCCTTTGCCTTTCCACAAAAGTTTATTCGGCTTATTATGGAGTGTGTTACCTCCCCCAAATTTTCTGTGGCCTTCAATGGGGATCTCCATGGGTTCTTTGCAAGAGGAAGAGGTATCCGTCAAGGTGACCCTTTATCCCCATACCTCTTCACCCTTGTGATGGAAGTGTTCTCTGGGATACTCAATTCCAAGGCACGACACCCGACCTTCAAATTCTTCTGGAGATGCATGTGACATTTCGAATTTCGGCCCATTTTTTGGATTTATAAAATATGTAATTCGTCAGTGTGCTTATAGTAAAATCTCGCCCGGGAACTGATCACTCTTAGTTATGATTTTTAAAATTGAGATTTTGCTAAAATCGCATTCGATCAAATTTGGCCGTTATTTAGAGCCCGAACTTTGGTGTCGAATTTTTCGGAGTTTTGTGACGAATTTAATTGGACGGTGTCGATATTATTGTGGCCAGCCTCGACATTACCCGGGATATGTGAAAAGTGAAATTTTGACTGGGTGCGAATTTGGAATAGTAGACCTCCTACGTAGTGTGTTTTAGTTAGTTTCTTCTGACCCTTTTTCCTAATTATTAATTAGGATTTTCGTGGACCGTTAGATTGATTTTTTGGTTCGAATTGTAATCGTTGGATCGCGATCATTACTTTGACTCTCTCTCTCCTGCCGCTCTGCCGCGCACGTTCCCCCATGCACACGTCCCCTCATGCACGTTCCCCCCCTTTTTTCTGTCAGACTCTCTCTCCCCCCATGCACACGTCCCCTCATGCACGTTCCCCCCTTTTTTCTGTCGGACTCTCTCTCCTCTTTCTTATTTTTCTCTTCTTCCCTTTTCTCTTTCTTCCTTCTTCTCTTCCTCTCCCTCCTTCTTCCCCGACGCCGCTGCTTCTGCTTCTTCCTCAGCCCAACCGTCGCCCGAGCTCGTCGCCGCCCATCGCCACGCGCCGCCGCCGTCGCCAGCCAGCTCGACCGCCGCGCCGCGCCGCACTGTCCGTCTAGCCACCATCCCAACCGACTGTTCTCTCCCTCTCCTCCGTGCGAGCAGCAGCTCGCCGCTACGTCCGCCACAGCCAGGCTCCGCCGAGCCGTCAGCCAGCTCGTCCGGCAGCTCGCCTGGCGCCGCCGCCCCGCCAGCGGCCGCGCCGTGTCGCCCCAACTACCGCCGGTTCGCCCCTCCCTCAGCCTCAGCCCTCCCCCTTTCGTCACCCCCGTCCTGGCTGACCTTCCCCTCCCCTTCGGCCCCGTCGCCGCCACGTCGCCGAGACCAGCTCGCCGCCGTGCCGCCGTCGTCCCTGCGGCTCAACGACGACGCTACTGCCCCCTGCTCCGGCCGAGATAGTCGCCGAACTCACCACCGCTGCCGTCGCACCTGCTCGTCGTCGCTCGCCGCCGCCGTAGCTCGCCGCCGTCGCCGTCCGACCGTCGTCCCGGCTAGCCCAGCTCCTCGGCCATCCAGGTCGCGCGGCCGAGCATGCCCAGCCGTGGCCTGACAGCCAACCAGCTCGCCTAGGCCATGCCCAGGCCGTGGCCGAGCAGCCCTGGCCATTCGCCCGGCCGTGGCCCATCGCCCGCCATGCCCGTCGCCGTGCCCTGCCGCGGCCAAGCATTTTGCCCGTGGTCGTGGGCCGCACCGAGAATTTTGCCCGTGTGCCGAGCCCCGCGCCCTCGCCTGTGCCGATCCCAACACTGTTCACCCGGGCCATTTTGAGCCCGAGTGGATTTTTCCCGAGCCAAAACCTAGTAAATGACTTCCTAATCCCTATTTAGTATAATGGGTATTTTTAGACTTGTTTAGGGGTCAATTAGAGTTGGTTTAGTGACTAAGTTAGGAAATTGATTAGTTGGTTAGAATGTGATTAGTACATGAATTTTGTGATAGGTGGTAGATTAAATTGCGGTGATTACGTGGCTAATTATGGTGAGTTAAAGGACCGGATTGCCGTGGCGTGTGTGGGTGAAATCGATGATTGATTGTGGCCGACTTGAATGTCGGATTGGTGAGCTCGTGGTTTGGAATTAGGATGGTTTTGGGTGCATATTAGTGGCTAATGTTGGTGGGTCAATGATTGGCTTGTTGTGGCATTCGTGGGTGGATTTGATGTTCTTATGTGGCCGGCTTGAATGTCGGATTGTTGGGTTAGTGTGATGAGCTTGTGATGTGATTTGGATTCGTACGACGTGTTGAATGGCGAATTGTGATGTGGTGAGCATGCCTTGAGTTTGAATAGTACGACTTGTGAGAATGACGAATTGTGTTGTGGTGCATGTGCATGAGAAAAGCCTGGATTGATCGGAGGGCTGCCAACCTGAGGTGTGGTTATGCGAGTGTGGCGAGAAAGGCATGATCAGACCTGAGGCGTGGTTACGCGGGTCATTGGAAGGGGAAAAATGTCTTGAGGCGTGGTTATGCGGGACGAAGCCCAGATTGATCGGAGGGCTGAGCCCGAGGCGCAATAGCGCGGGCTGTGAGATTGGGCCTGAGGCGCAGTGGTGCGGGCAGTGAGATTGGGCCTGAGGCATAGTGGCGCGGGCAGTGAGAATGGACCTGAGGCGCAGTGGCATGGGTCGTGAGAAAGATGTTCGGCCATGCATGCGAATTGAGTGTGATTGAATTGGCTGGTTGAATGTGTGATTGAATTAGTTGGATTGATTGAGTGCATGTGTGGTTGGTGTTTGAGTGATTGTGATATGTTATTGAGTAATTATTATTGTATTATCACGTTTTGAATAACGTGCAGAGTTGGCATACGTTCTGATGGCAAAGGTAAGTACAATGATGTGAGCTCGTTATGTTGTTAGCTAGATTGCATGTATGACTTGTCTGGGTACGCATTGGCCTATGTGGAGTTTAGGGTGTTGCTTATTGAGACTCGTTCTCATGGTTATTATATAACCATTTCAGACCCTCAACCCCGACCATGAATGGTCCGTCACAGCGTTTTGGGATCCCGAGGAAGGGCCGATGGAGCAAGACTTGAAGAGAAGCCCATGGAGTTAGTGGACCTTTATGTATAGTTAGGCTAGTCTACCTGCCACCTGTTCCTTTTTGATGATTATGGTGGATCTAACCCTAGGAGCCTAATGCCTGAATTGTACGACCGAATGTTGTAAGTGACGGTCTTCTATTGTTAGGATATTATTGGGTTGTGTTATTGTTACTCCTCTGTCATATTTTATTGTCTGGGTTGTTTTAAATTCGCTTCCGCTTACTTACTCGTGTGAGTGTTTCTTTTGGGTCGGTGACGCGTCATGGGACGTCGCGTTCGATACGACCGCAGAAGGGATGCCGCGTGCCGTAGGATTGGGGGCGTGATAATGCGAGCCTTCCTCTCTTACACACCTATTCTTTGCCGATGATGTGCTGCTGTTTGTTGAGGCCAATCGGGCGTCAGCAACTCTTATGAAGGAAGGCCTGGAATTATTTTCGGCTTGGTCTGGACTTATACCGAATGCCAACAAAAGTGAGATCTTTTTCTCAGGTGGATCCAATGAGATTCGATCCCAAATTCGGCACATTTTCGGCTTCAATGAAGGTACCCTCTCCTTTAGATATCTTGGTGTACCTATCATTGCGACTCGACTAAGCAAGACATACTGCATTGCCTTAGTAAACTCCATTACCGCTTGAGCTCGATCTTGGTCACAACGCTTCCTATCTTTTGCGGGTAGGTTACAACTTATTAAATCAATCCTTCATGCTATCCAAGTTTATTGGGCTTCTGTCTTCTCCCTTCCCCGTTTAGTGCTATCAAAAATTGAAATGATTTTAAGACAATTCTTATGGAGAGGCCCGGACTTGGGACCTGGAAGGGCTGAAGTGCCATGGAGTGTTATGTGCCTCCCTAAAGACGAAGGAGGATTGGGCATTCGTCGGCTCCTTGACTGCAATCGTGCAGCCTTACTCAAACACATTTGGAACCTTTTCACAGACAAGGAATCGCTTTGGTGTAAATGGATTCATTCCATTTTTCTTAAAAACAAGAACTTCTGGGTCGCACCTAAACCAACTGTGTGCTCTTGGGCTTGGAAAAAATTTCTTGACCTCCGCTAAGATTTCCAGCTTCACTTCTTTTGGCGCCTTGGCAATGGAGCTAACACCTACTTTTGGTTTGATCATTGGCACGCTAGGGGCCCTCTTTATAAACTTTTCTCTGACAGGGACATTTACCCATCAAGAATCCCAAGAAAGTCCTCGGTGAGAGAATTCTAATCCTCGGTATGGCATCAATCCCCAGTTTTGGATGCGCTCCACTCCTGGCCACTTGGTTTATCCCTAAATGAGGATGGAATTGACCACCTAACTTGGACGGGACATCCCTCAGGTATTTTCTCCTCATCCAGGGCTTGGGAATTGATTAGAAACAAGGGACAACAAGTCAACTGGAGCTCTTTCATCTGGGATTCTTCCATTTCACCCAGATATGGCTTTCTATTGTGGCTTACCACGCTCAATAGGCTCCCCACGCAGGTACTTTTATTGAGCTATCATAGGATTGCGGAAGGGGTTTGTGCCTTTTGCCATTGTAGACCGGACTCCATTGACCACTTATTCTTTGGCTGTAACCTCACGGGCTCCCTTGCCCTTTTTTGGGCATCCAAATGCGGCCTCTCCTGGCGCAATAGACCATGGCAAGACAATCTTCATTGGGCAATCCGTTTTATTGGGGGTAATACTTTCCACCATCGCATCGCTCGGTTTTCCTTCAATGCACTTTGCCATATCATTTAGTCAAAAAGGAACCACATCCTCTTCAGGAACAAGAATCTTTTCTTGCTGGCCATTCGTAACCACCTTGTAAAGGTCACAAGAGATAGAGGGCTGTCCTTTAAGCCTGTGGAAGACACTCCCCGTAACCGGAGAATACAAAACAACTGGGGCATCTCAACAACAATCTTTGAGTGATCTTCTTTGTAGATTGTGTATAGCTCTTGTTTTCCCTTAGCCACTGTTTTGGCTATCTTTTGGTCCACTCCGATCGCTTATAGCTTTGAATAGTCGCACACCTTCTACCCGTTGGAACATCATTGGTGTCCCATTGGGTACGAGGTTTTTGTGTTCGACTAAACCATCCTTGTAAGTGGTGCGTTAAAAAGTTAATATACATCTTACCTTACCAAAAAAAAAGTTTAAATTGATCGGTGGAGAGAAACTATGTCCATGAAATAATGTAAGGCAAAACATGACTCCGAAACCATGTTGGAAAGCCTTCACTTAAAAGCTTAAGTTGTTTGCATCCTTTGAGGTCCTGGTGCTCTTCATGTGCTGTGAGAATTCATCTTCTACAGTAAGAGCAATTAGAGAGCATTCCAACCATATATATAGGGCGAGAGAAACGTATTTTAGCAACAAAAAAAAAGGACGAGAGAAACGTAGACAACTTACTTCTTACCGAAGATTTCACAATTTGATCAAATTTGACCTGAAGCCTTACATGTTCGATTTTTTTATTCGATGAAACAATTGGGTAGCATCAATCAAGAGCATCCCGACCACACTCAAATTGGCGAAATCTGACGATTGGATCGAAGATATCATATAGCTAAATATCTATTATTTGATTGGAATTTCGTAAGCTTTCAATTTGGCGGCATCGTTTAGTAGTTGAGTTTGCGAGCTTTCCGGATTATCATGAATTGTTTCCATTAGATCTAAAACGAGATATCGCAAGTCAAAGTTTGGTCAAAATTGGGTAATAAGGACAAAACGAGAATAGGAACAATGTAAGGCCATAGGGCTGACAAAGGACTGAATGCGAACTCCCATAGTCTGGTTGAACTTAAACCAAACTGAGGGTGAGTCTGCTTTTAGTTTACTGATAAACAACCGAAGTTCATCTGGTATAGTCGTCAAAAAATAGGTCGCGCTCGTGCGTTGTATTCCCGTTATGAGATTGTCATCCACGCACTTCTAGAAACTAGAAATCATGAACTTTTCGTGGCCATGATCATCGCACAAATACTGATGTCAAACGGAGGAGATACATGCGCTTGAAGTTTCGCAGAAAAATTAGCTAATGGCTCGTAGTTGCAAGTATTGGCAAGACTAGAGGTGGCGATTCAATCACGACACAAGAACATGACTCAAACGCGATTGCAAGTTAATGAGAGAGGCAAAATCGACACAATACAATATGAATTAACTTAGAACTAACATGAATTGACATATTTTCACTCATTTTCCATGAAAAGTACTTTTTAATCACATTGAAATATTATTGGAACGATATTTGACATTGATAACTAATACAAATGTATAGACATGACAAGAATTGCTCAACAAGTGAAGCCTCTAATATTAGCTCAGTCTTCCAATATTATATTCTCTAACGAAAATAACATGAATGAACGATGTGCTGATAACTCTTGAGAAACTTGTCACATGCTCATACGATGCTCCGATTTGGGACTCAAGCATGACAATGCGATCTTTGTCATGAGAGCCACTTCCCCTAGCAAATCGCCCTCAGGGTACGGAACCCTCTTATCCAAAACTTCTTTCAGTGAGCAATGTGGGATTGTCGAATCACTCGATGATGGTAGAGATGTGGACAAGAGAGATGATATGAGATCTTGCGGATGTCTTCCCATTATCACTTCCATTGCTACGACTCCAAAACTATAGACATCGTATTTCTCGTTCACTTCCCTTGTGTAGGCGAGTTCTGCAAATAGAACAGCTCTTTTTCTCACTTAATCTTATTAACATTGTCTATTTTGATCTTTTAGTCTTTTAGATGCACATTTAAGTGAAACCAGTTTAAAGAAGCCTTGTATTTGGACCGAGCCTTAAATGTCAAACAGAAAAAAGATGTACTAAGCCTTATCCAATCAATCCGTGTACTCATATTGTATCCTTATCCTGATAAGAGGACTTGTTTTTCTAGGACTCTTAACCATTTGAATCTCCTCTTTGTTCTTGAATATTATTGTCTTGAAAAAATAATATTTGAGGGTAAATTTGATAATGTAAAAGAAAAATTGGAAAATCTCCAATTTTAGGGATTATAATTTCATGAAAGTAGCAACTCTCAGCAGCTCGTTATCGTAGCTAACTATTTTCTACTGCAAATCACGTTGTACTTTCTTTAGATTTCAATGTGATTAGAATAATTCCCATTCACTAACAACAATATCTCGTTTTATCCTTTAGCGTGACTTGTATTTCAGTAACTCTGCACAAAGGAAAACATTTGAAGAACGTTGGGATTTATGTTAGGTATATGTTAAACAAATGGAGCCAAATTATCCATCTATCTTTTAAGTAGGATTTGTTGAATGTGGGAAATATCACATACTCATGCATGAAAAGAGTAAAATCTCATGAAAAGAATTTACCTGGAGCTGCATATCCAAATGTGCCTGCAAATGAAGTCCAGTTGGATGAATCATGTTTTAGAACCTTAGCAGTGCCAAAGTCCGAGACGTGAGCTTCATATTCTTCGTCTAGTAAAATGTTCTTGCTCGATATGTCTCGATGAATTATAGGAGGATAGCATTCATGGTGCCTGTAGGACAAAGCATTAGCCACACCTTTAACAACATTCACTCTCTTATTCCAATCGAACATTCTTATCCTTTGTTCCCTCTTCAAAATATCCTCCAAGCTGCCCGATTCAAGAAACTCATAAACCAAAAAAGAATGGCGAGAGGTCGAACAAAAGCCATACAGCTTGACGATATTTCGGTGTCGGGTTTCCATCAAAGAATGAATCTCCCTTTCGAATGCTTTTCAACTAGCCATTTCAACATCTGGCGCTCCATTCAAATTTTTAACAGCAACAATCTCACCCGTTTGCAGCTTGACCTTATAAACACTCCCTTGTCCTCCCACGCCGATGCAATATTTGGCATCGAATGCCTCGGTGGCTTCAATAATGTTCTTGTACACCGTTCTTCCATCATAGCTCCATATTTCGAGCATACTTTTACTGCTCGCTTCTATCAAGTCAGTCTCTCCTTGCCTTGTTCTTCGGTATATAATGCATGAAACTCCCACCAAAAGAAACAAAGCAAGCAGGCAACCGGATGTAGGGAGTAAAATGAGCAGCAAATTTTTGTCTCCGTCTTTCCCTTTCGTCTCCGTCCCTGGACAATGCGTGAGACCCATAATATTTTCGCACAAGCCTTTGTTCTCTCTTATAGCAGCCATTGTAGCATTATGAAAGGCTGGAATGTTTGGTAAAGGACCCTCTAACTCATTATAGGATACATCAACATATGTCAGGCTTGTCATAGCATCCAAAGTCGGTGAAATTGAACCAGACAGTTGATTGTGTGAGAGATTGAGTGTTTCCAAACTGTGCAATGTTCCAAGTTGTAGAGGTATATCTCCAGTAAGCAAATTTCGACTTAGATTTAGACTTTGAAGAGAATGCAGGTTGCCAATCTCAATCGGAATGCTCTGCTCAAGATTATTTCTGCTTAAATTTACATACTGAAGGTTCAAACACTGCCCAAGTTCTCTGGGGATTGAGCCACTTAGCTTGTTTCCCGCAACATTGATTTGATTTAGGTCAGATAATGCTCCAATTTCGCGAGGAATAGAGCCGGCGAGATGGTTGCCATCCAGCCAAAGCTCCAGCAGAGGCTGTAATTTTCCAAGTTCTTTTGGAATTTCCCCGACAAGATTATTTGAAGATACGTGCAGTACATGCAATTGAGTCATCTTTCCCAGATCAGGTGGTATCTTGCCCGATAATTTATTGTCGGAGATTTTCAGGCTTGTCAAATTGCTCCAATCGCCCAATCTCGGTGGAAGCTCTACATAAAGTTCATTATTGCTCAACTCAAGGTAATCCAAGTAGGGGTATGTGCCGAGAACATCAGTAATGTTGTCCTTTAACAGGTTATTTTGGAGCCTAACTCTATACAAACTTGTACAATTTTTTAGGCTTTGCGGTATCGGTCCCGTGAAGTGATTGTTTGCAGCACCGAAATATTTAAGAACTCGACCGTTGCATATATCCGGTGGCAATTGGCCGACAAACTGGTTATCGTTGAGTTGTAGGCTTGTAAGGGATGTGAGATTTTTCATCTCAATGGGGAGAGAGCCTTCAAGGCTATTCTCAATTAGAGACAGATAAGCAAGGAGCCCCAGTCTCCCCATCTCTTTCGGAATCGAGCCAGTCAACTTATTTTGGTGCAAGTACAATTCATTGATCTTGCTTAAGTTTCCGATACTAGAAGGTACAGGGCCGGTGATATTGTTTCCAGAGAGGAACAGGATGGTCAAGTTGCCCAACTTCCCTATCGTTTCCGGGATAGATCCTGAGAGGTTATTGTTTAACAGCTGAAAATGTATGAGGGATCTCATTCCTCCAACTTCTTCAGGTATGTGGCCAGAAAGTTGGTTTCCATAGGAGTAAAGAAATGCTAAATTAGTCAAATTTCCTAGAGTTGGAGGGATAGATCCATTGAGTTAATTTTCTGATAAATCAAGCTCACTAAGAGACTCCAACATCCCTATTTCCATTGGAATGGACCCGACCAGATCATTATCGAAAAGCCATAACTTCATCAAGCTGCTCATATTTCCAATGGAAGAAAGAATTCGACCGGTGATGCGGTTCTTATGTAGAAACAGATAATTGAGAGATTTGAGCATACCTACTTCTGGAGGGATGAACCCGGAGATCTTATTGTTCTGAGGGTATAAGCCAGTAAAGTTACTCAAACTTCCTATAGAGCCGAGGACTGGACTAGTGATGTTGTTCGACGAAAATTCCAGAACTTCTAGAGACCACATCGATCCGAGTTGGGTCGGAACGTGTCCAGAGAGGTGGTTTTGAGACAAGTCTAGGTAAGCAAGCTTGGAAAGATTGCCGAGGCTCGAGGGGATGTTCCCAAAGAGTGAGTTGTTGGCAAGTTTAAGGGTGACCAAGTTGGGCAATGAGGAGAAATCAAGATCGTGAAGCGTACCACGGATGGCGGAGCTCGAGAGGTTCAAACTGATGATGCTCCCAAGAGGATTGCAACTGAGTCCGCGCCAAGAGCAAGGGTCGCTTCCATTCCAGGAAGACAAGATAGAGCGACTCTCGCTGTTGAGCTTAGAGTTCCATTTTAGGAGTACCGCCACTTCCTCATCTCTTGTTTGGCTACCTGAAAGAGCGAAGGCCACTAGAGGAGAGCTTTTGGATGAAGCAGGACGAGACACTTCTTGCATAATAAGCACGAGAAGGACATATCCTAGGAAGAGCATTGAGAGTTGTTTTTGAGACGATGCCGCCATTTGACAGGATGTTTTAAAGCTATGAGGAGGGGGCTTTTCTTGTTGCAATGGCAATGCCAGCGGACGACGGTCTTTGTAGTAGAATGAAGTGGTATCTTCATACCATCTAAGACCAAGTCAAATATTGGTTCACACTCTAAGCTCACCCAATGCTCGTTGTCCGTGACAGCTGCCGAAAGTTTTGGCTTTTCTGGTTTGAGAAAAATTAAAATCCGGTACGCTTCAAGAGTGACTTCTGTAGCATATTCTGTCCAACCGCATAGCAGAAAACTGTGAGACCTTCGTATCTACGTTGAGTCCTAGTTGAAATATAAGCTTTCGTATGTGTGCTTCTGTTGACACCCGAAATTAATTAGAGATTTCGTCGTGAGAATATATGAATAAAAGGACAAGAGATGACATCACTTGTACTAAAATGACAGCTGGTAAGTACGGGCAGTCATAAGCGGGAAATTTGAAATTCAGATAGAGGGGGATAAAAAATGCTGAAGGTATTGTCGTCGAAGATATCAACAAGGAGAAGATGGGGAGAAGCTATAAAAAATTCGATGAAAGCCTTCGTTCCAGAAATGCTAAAAATGCTTCTCATCGATGAAAAGGGTGATGGATGTCAGACGGAGGAAAAGTTCGATGAAGGATATCATCCCAGGAGATAGGTGTCAGACGGAGGAAAAGTTCGATGAAGGATATCATCCCAGGAGACAGGTGTCAAACGGAGGAAAAGGTTCGATGACAGTTATCATTCCAGGAGACAGGTGTCAAACGGAGGAAAAGTTCGATGACGGTTACTATCCCAAGAGACAGGTGTCAAACGGAGGAAAAGTTCGATGATGGTTATCATCCCAAGAGACAGGTGTCAAACAAAGGAAAATATTGATGACGGTTACATCCCAAGCGATAGGTGTCAAACGGAGGAAAAGATCGATGACGGTTATCATCCCCAGCGACAGGTGTCAAACAGAGGAAAGGCTCGATGATGGTTATCATTTTGAGAGACAAGTGTCAAATGGAGAAAAGATTCGATGACGGTTATCATCTTGAGAAACAGGTGTCAAATGGAGAAAAGGGTCGATAACGGTTATCATCTCGAGAAACCGGTGTTGAATGAAGGAAAGGGCTCGGTGACGGTTAACGCTTTAGAGACTAAATGGGCTCAAAAGCAGTTTCCATTTCGTACAAAAGATAAAATCGATAACTGTTGATAAACAGTTGTCATCGCATGAACGGTGAAGATGAAATCAACGATAGAGATTGGATACAACACCAAGAACAGTTACCAAGTCTGCGCTATAAATAGCACCTGATTACCAATAGGAAAACCCCCCCGGCACACATGAAAAACAAATATTGTCTTTTATCTTTACTTCCCAGTTTCGCACTTTCAGCTTTCATAGTTATAGTCTTTATTCTCCAGTTTCGCATTTTCAGTTTCTTTAGCTATAATTGCTCAGATCTTTGTAAAGTTTGGACGCCACCATCAATTGGATGGATTTGTCTAGATCTTCTGTAAAACTCAAGTTCCTTATTCAAGCCTGGATTGCTCCTGTCCGGAATTAGATCTAGAACTCAGTCTCCTTTCATTAAGAGTCGAAGAACGACTTTCGGTGAATTATATTTCGTCGCGAGGACATTTTCTGATGAAACATAATTTTGGCACGCTCAGTGGGACTTCTTAGATCAATTGGAGGAGTGACAATGGCACGAACGAGAAGTTGGAGTCAATTAGACCAGAATAACAATGTTCCAGGGAGCAGTGCACCCCCGAATCCTACTGTAGAACGAGTGACGCGCACAGAATCATCAAACGGCCGAACAATCACAGAGTAGGGTCAGGTAGGAGAGATAGATGTTCCCAGACACCTTACTGAAGAACAAAGAAGGCAATTGGAACCAAATCCAGTTACACTTGCTACTATGAGAAGAATCATGGAAGAACAACATAATGATTTGGCTAATCTGGTTACTAGATGCATGGCTGACACTGTTTGGCCATTGATTATCAACACGGTTCAAGAGATCACTGGAAGGTCGAATTTGTCGATGAATTCTTCTCAATCACAGACTGTCCCAGTTGTACCTCCAGGTGTAGTTGGAGGTCTTGGACAACCCATTGTTATGAACTCTGGCAGTGCGACAGCAGGGCAAATTATGCCTCATGCACCAGTAAGAATTCTTCAGAGAGGAGAAAATGCATTGGCAAATCAAACACACGCCCACTTGTCAACAATTGAAGGTAATGCAGTTAATCCAATACTTCGAAACGAGAATATAAATATGGGTCAACTGGCAGCCAACGGAGCAAACTCGTCTGGTTCGGTTCAGACAAATGTGACTACTGCAAATTTGGTTCCTCAAAATGCTGTTCCGTATCAATTGCACGATAACGCGGTGTCCAGTGGTTTTGCAGCTCAACCAAGCATTTCTCAGATGTTGTTCAGGCCAAATGTAAATATAGATAGTCCGGGGAGGAATGTAACACCACCACAGCCAATTCCACAATATCCACAACCACCATTGCAAAACACAATTCCTCAATATCCGCAACCACCATTGCAAAACACAATTCCTCAATATCCACAGCCACCACTACAGAATCCAGCTCCACAGCATCCACAACCAATAGCACAATATCCATTACTATAACCAACACCACAAGTGCCAATACCCCAATATCAGATGCATCAACCTCTGCAACAAAATGCACCACCAGCTGTAATCCCACTAGGACAAAATCATCATATAGTTGATCCAATGTTACGGCAATACGGTGGTGAACCATGAGTTTTTAGACAAGTGTACAGGAAGCCCTACCCAGAATGGATGGATACCGTTCCGTACCCAAGGGAGTTAAAGATGTCGGAATTTAGCCTGTTTACTGGCGAAGACGAACAGTCAATACAAGAGCATATTAATTGATTCACTGCTTTATATGGAGATGCTACGTATGGAGATCATTGGAAGTTGCGCTTATTTCCATTATCATTGTCCAAAACCACTTTTACCTGGTACACATCTCTACCGCCTCATTCTATAACCTCTTGGGATCAAATGGAAATGATGTTTCATAGTCAGTTTCAAAGGGCAGTGCCAGACATGTCTGTGGCAGATTTATCAGCAATGAAACAATATAATAATGAATCCGTTGATCAGTTCATGTTTCGATTCAGAAAGGCAAGAAATAGATACCTTGTACCATTACCTGAGAGGACGTTTGCTGAATTTGCCTTTAATGGTTTAAAGTTTGCCATTATGGAACGAATGGTAGGTTAGGCCTATTACGATTTGTTTTCATTGACCACCATTGCTGTGAAGCATGAAAACTTTTTTAAAGAAAAGGATAGGAAGCATACTAGACACGAGATGAACTTTGTCGATGAGACACTAGTCGATGAAGACGAGTCAGAGTACGCTGAGGTGGCAGTTGCCAAGATGATAATAGAAAAGCCATACACTTGTCCTGCTTTGAAACCAGCTAAAGCAAAGGAAAAGGGTTCTGTCATGGTCAAGTCAAAGGACGTCCAGTATTATTCTTTTGACATAAATAAGGTCGATGAAATATTTGATTTTCTTTTGGCTGATGGGCAAATCAAGCTTACTGAAGGCCAAGTTATACCAAGTCCAGAAGATATGAGAGGAAAGAAATACTGTAAGTGGCATCACTCATGGAGTCATAACACGGTTGATTGTATTGTGTTAAGAAAGAACATTCAAGAAGCAATTCGACAAGGCAAAATTAAATTTGCGGATGATAAAGAAAAGGCTCCTATGGAGGTAGATGTTGATCCTTTCCCCGTGATGACGGGAATGGTGTCACTAAAACCTAAAGGTAAATTGATGCAGCCGCACCTATGTGCTCAGTGTAAAGAAGAAATCAATTATGATCGACGAAGAGAGCATTTTTCGAAACAGGAAGTCTCACAAGAGAAGACTTTTTGGGTTCAATTTGGATCCCAGAATTATAACAAAAAAACTGAATATTGGAGTCGTCCCCGAAATGTTCAAGATAGCAATAGACGTACAAATCAGGAGCGAAATGCTTGGGTTGTCGATAATTCGACAACGTACCCAACAAAATGGAAGTCTTTCAAGCAGCGCTATGAAGAAGGTGACCCTAGGATTGGAACATTGGGAGAGCCCAGTGGTAAATTCGACTATTACGTCGACTATGGCCCACCTCCTATACATTCAGAAGATGTGGTTGCAACTGGATGGAGTGAGGAATTCGATGATCCACTTAAAAAAGAGACCAAGGTAACTCTGATACCTCATCGAATTAGAACTTTGAAAATACCAAGCGATCCACTAGAAGATGAATGGTTCGAAGCAGGAGAAGTTCAGGGTCCAGGGGGCAATGTAACAAGGACTCAAAAAAGAAGGTTGCAAAGGAAGAAGAAGATACATGAGCTACAAAAACAGGTTAATCAGATTCATATTACTCAAAATCTACCAATGCTTTATAAACCTAAGAAATTCCGAGCTAGAAATTTAGTATGGAGGAGGAACCCTGGGGATTCTAATCAGGGTGAATGCAATAATGAGGAAAAGGTTAAGGACAAGTTGGTACTTAGACCTGATGTATTATCGAGATCTGTTTCGCCTTTAGTTCATGCATGGTCCAAGCTAGACTCCCATTACAATATAGAGTGACATCTGTAGACTCAACAACTAATGGAGGTTCAATTATCGATGAGGAGGACAATGCAGAATTCCAATTTGAAAATGAAGAAGAATTAATGGAGTTTGAAAAACCCTCTTACGAAGGATCCAAACATCTGAGGGCACTTAATATAAATGCTAGGTTAGATGGCCGTCCGGTTTCCAAAGTTCTGGTCGATGGAGGATCCACTTTAAATTTGGTTCCATATAGGTTTTTCAAAAAGATAGGAAAAAGAGATGATGAGATTATCCCATCGAATATACAATTGTCAAATTTTACGGGAGAAGTAACAGAGGTCAAAGGGGTATTTGTTGCTGACCTGACGGTAGGATCCAAGACTTCTAGAATAGCTTTCTGTGTTGTCGAGGCAGATGG